TTTGATGATATGCATTGCCGTTCCACTGTGCCTTCGTGCCTTATAGTAATAAAATAGATGATTTTGATGATATGCATTGCCTTTCCGCTGTGCCTTCGTGCCTTATAGTAATAAAATAGATGATTTTGATGATATGCATTGCCTTTCCGCCGTGCCTTCGTGCCTTATAGTAATAAAATAGATGATTTTGATGATATGCATTGCCTTTCCGCCGTGCCTTCGTGCCTTATAGTAATAAAATAGATGATTTTGATGATATGCATTGCCGTTCCGCCGTGCCTTATAGTAATAAAATAGATGATTTTGATGATATGCATAGCCTTTCCGCCGTGCCTTCGTGCCTTATAGTAATAAAATAGATGATTTTGATGATATGCATAGCCGTTCCGCCGTGCCTTATAGTAATAAAATAGATGATTTTGATGATATGCATTGCCGTACCGCCGTGCCTTCGTGCCTTATAGTAATAAAATACATGATTGCAGGAACACAAAATCGCCGACAAAATTGCTAGTGTGAACTAGGCTTTAACAATAAAAGACATTATTTCGGTGATATACATGCATTGTCATTGCTTCACAAAAAAAATAAAAACATGATCCCCGGTAGCCCGCTCGCAACGCTTGTATTTCTGGATACCGCATTCAGGAACTGCCATATACCTGAGACTGAGTACTTTGTGGAGCAATTCCCAAACTAGTTTTTTTCAATGTCCATTAAAATTTAAAATTTGTTACATTGTCTAGCGAATAGTTTTCCAATGAGAAGTTTTACGAGATGTCGGCGTTGCCACGCCGATCGACCGTATTTCAGCAAAATAATGGTTTAAATATTCAGCTATTTCAGTGTTGTTTGTGTCTACTTTTTTGTTTATTAAAAGAGAGGAAATATTTTGAGATTTCGGGACATTAACTCATTTATTGTACTCCAAATTTCTTTGGATTTTCCCTTGTTGACCATACCTAATTTTAAGAATTTTTTATCACTGCACATTTTTGTGCAAAGTTTAGCCGAGCAGAAGCTACGCCCGCAAAATTTCTGAACGCACCTTTTTAGTAATGTGTAACCAAAAGACAGGCTACAAATGACATATAAAATGATCCCAAAATCAACATGCGGCACAGCGCCCCCAGGGAAATTTGGGGGCCCAGGGGAAAAATTGAGTTGTGACCCCTCGTGATTCCGTCTTCTAACACTATGATTATAAGGGGATGAGGGGGCATTCTCCCCAGGAAAATTTTGAAATCTCAGGTGCGAGAAATGGCCAAATCCTGCATTCTGGAAGTTTGTTGGCAGTTATACCTATATTTCAATGTAATTCTTTTCTGGGCCACCTTTAACTGGGGTCCAACTCAAATTGCCGCCTCCCTGGCCTCTCTCTGGGCGGCCTTGACAGCACTCGCTGTTACGACTTTCTATGACAGCGTAGTTTGATGATCATATGCTTGCAGCAACGAAATATTTTTGTCTTGGCAAATAGGAGGCGGCTTAGATGTGATAAACTGTAAAAGAGTTCCAGGGGCATGCACCCACAGAAAATTTTGTAATCTAGCCTCTCTCAAAGGCCCTTTTTTCAATTTGTGAGGACATTCTATAGAATCCTGAAGATTTTATAGTAATATAATTTATATACAAAAGGGATGACCTTTCCTTGCAAACAACAGTTGAAGTCTCGCCATACTATAGTACTATACAGAGGATACTCTTTCGGCGTTAGGCTAATGCAGGGGCGAAACTAAAGGGGTATGGGGTGTGTGCACCCCCACCCCAATTGGCAAGGCAATAAAAAATCTGCCGGGCAACGAAGACATAGCACAGTTCCGCTGGAAGATTGAAGTAAAAGACTAATATAACAAGATTAGCTCTTTTTGAAGCTGATCGGCATATTAATATTAATAATCCATCCTGGCTAACCAATAGCATAGGGCCTAAAGAAAAAAGGTGTAGAGAAGACTCGTATAACATGCCATTTCGGACGATCTAGAGACACCAGATTTTGACGCTGTACATCTTATGGACACATGGGACTGAACTTTATAAAATTTCGATTTTCTTTTTCCTTTGGTATGTTTCTTAATCGTCAAAAATACTTAAAAAGTACGCATGTTGAGTGAATAATCTATAATTCATATTAACCTATTAATGGTAATGCACTTTAATTCATAAAGAATTAGTTTTTCATATCTCTGATTACTGATCATGAGAAGCTAAAAATCGTCATTTTATTTTCTTTATTCTTCTTTACCTATACCTCGTGATGAAAGACATTGTAAAACCTGCGGCACTGGTGCGGTTGAAGACGAATTTCACTTTGCATTCGAGTGTCCAAGTTATAGTAGCATTAGGAACAATGCAAACAATATATTAAAAAATATTTTTCAGATGAACATTACAACGGATTCAAAACAAAACTTATTGACGCATGTGATGTCATGCGATGACTTAGTTATAATTGAGCTATTTTCTAGCTTTATTTCAAAATGTTTCTGCCTTAGAGACAGATGCCTTAAATCTGGGGACACCCCTTAATTACTATAACATATATACTCTTTTGTTTATACTATATATTATATATTTTTGAGAAACTTTAATATGAACTACACCGTAGTCATAACATTTGTTCTTGTTATAATAGGATAGTCAGTGCTCTTAATAGCACTTCTATACTTAATACTTTAGCAATACCTGTACAGGTCATGCCAATAAAGTTGTTAATAATAATAATAATAAAAATAATACTGAAAATGATTTACTTGTTAATTGAAAAGAGTAATTAAGGATTAATTGCATGCTCTACAGTGTATTGTATAGGTTAATGAATAATGAATGTATTAGTTTTAATGTTGAGTCTCATGATCAGTAATCAGAGATATGAAAAACTAATTCTTTATGAATTAAAGTGCATTACCATTAATAGGTTAATATAAATTATAGATTATTCACTCAACATGCATACTTTTTAAGTATTTTTGACGATGAAGAAACATATCAAAGGAAAAAGAAAATCGAAATTTTATAAAGTTCAGTCAGCTCACTCATTACGAGTTTTAAGCGCGTGCTGATGAAACGTTGATCTCTCGAAAACCATAGACCGCGCGCGCTATTGGTTGATCATCGCCAACGTTGACAGACATGTGTGTCCTGCTGGTATAACGTGGAATAAAAAAGCTTGTAATTTTATCCAGTCTTTCTTTGAGAGGATTTCCAAAGAAGCATACTTCATCCGCAAGTGACCAAGTTTTCATTTTTGCCAGTTTGTTTATTCGTGGTAAGTTAATTCAAATAGATACTATACTACATCACGAAGTCTTATTGAATTATAGTAAATCTTATCCACATTATCATACGTTAAATATTTATATATACAACTTTCTTTCAGCGATCTGAATCATGAATACGCCGCCAACACTAGAATCACCAGTTAAAAGTATCTCGGTCAGGGAGGATCAGTTTGGTGCTCGTGCGCTGCATTACAAAGCGGGGAAACGACGATACCGGTGTATAGCAAATTTCTACTTTATAATAGATTCATTCGTTCAATTTGATACATGCAAGAAATATAACGGATACATTTTAAACGTGCACAGAACAGATGGCGTAGCAATGTAAGTACATCATATATATATAAATTTTATCATTGCATGTAATACTATCTTATACTGACTTTATTTACCAAGTTCGGCAAATGGCAAATCAAATATAAACGAAATTACCGTATTGAGCTATGCCTATGCGCTTAACACAGTTCTCTGTGACCAACCTCTACATTCGCCAGTTGACTCAATTCTGTAATGAAATGGGGCGATTATACATGGACCGATATATGATACATGTGTAAATTTTGAATGGGCTTTTGCGGCACAATGTGCTTTTGTGGAGAGAATATGAGCTTAGCTTTTGCCCCAAACATGCGCCCAAGGTGTGTGGACAGGGGAAGTTCCTGGCTTGCAAATGATTGACATGTGCGAAGTAAAAAAATGCACGGAATTCAGGCACGATCATAATTTACTTAGAAATAATACAAAACTATAATTGCGCGTCCAAAATAAACTACACGAATGTCTTGGCAAGCTCTTTGCGAATATTCGACATGTTGGATCGGCCAGAAACGATCATATACAATTATTTATCTGTCCTTACATGAGACCGGCACGAAGTCAAACCGGAATGAAAAGTAAGTAAAAAAAAATGTTATGACGCAATTAAAGGAAACCTTAATTACATGCATAATAATAATATTTAATCATTTAGCCTATATAGCGCCATTTCTTCTAGTAAACCAATGGCACTTTACATTACTTACATTTAAAAACTTATTTACTTAATTACGATTTAAGACTGAACTATACGCACGTCTAAATAAAAATGCATATAAAACACCTAATAATCTGACAAAAAACATGCCCCCGCACTTGCCCCACAACACTTGCCGACTTCATAATCTGTTTGTCCAATTTTATCAACCTTCTAAGCTTTTTGAAAAAAAGGAGTCATCATTTTGTCGCATTAATATTTGTAAACCATAAGGCATGATAATTTTCAATAACAGTACACCATAATCAGCCGGAGGCAGTTGCAGTGTATAAACTATTTCTAGTTTGGTGTTTTATGCATGTAATTAAGGTTTCCTTTACAATTGCGTCATAACATTTTGTACCCGCTTTGGTAAAACAGAAATTATTTAGCAAAAGCAGTGTTTGCGCGAAAACTGGAAATTTAGAGCATTTTTCGACCCACTTTTTACATGTCAAAGTTGGATCACTTTTTTTATACACCCAGTATAACTATGAAATATAACTATACTTTTAACACTGGAATATATACAGCGTAAGGTATGTAATAGATATAAACGAAAGCAAAAAAGTTCGGCAACAATACTGAATTACTTAATTAATTAAGGTAGTGATGCAAATATTGAATATCTTGTGCGAAAATTTTTTCACGTTTTTCACATATGGTGCGTTAATTGTTATAGGGAATGTTTCGTCACTGTTAACGAAATGGAGATGGCAAAATCATTTAAAGCTGCAATCAATAGAACGTTCAGTGACAAAGGTGGAGTTTTTTGGGAGAAGGTGAACGACCAGCAACTGCGATCCTTCCTAATGGGTATGATGCGAGAGTTTGCTTCCAACGATTCAAGCAAACAAGTTATTGGGAGTTTGATCATTGGTCGCCAACCGAATCCCCGAAGAGTGGACAATTTTGGCGAATTTGTTGATGCAGATGTTACCGATGGTGAATTCAAAGATGACTATGATAACGCCGTTTATATATTGAACGAGAATGTTCAGGTAATATATGTGGACGGCAATTTCTTGCGAATATTCAATTTTGAAAAAAGAGTATAGTGTACTGTATGTATTGCATACCTGCTGCATATTTCACTGTATAAAAAAAATTACGAATAATTTTTCAGCTCCATGCACTGTTACTGAGATACATTACAATGCATGAGCATCTACGTAAGAAGTTGTTGAAAAGTTTGCTTTATAAAGACCACGTTTTTTGCTTACAGATGAACAAGGATGGGGTAATTCCAAAGGACAATTGGACGCACAGATGGATGGTGCCTTTTCTTAACGCTATGTCGTCGGTGGACAGGACTATTATCCCATTTCTTAAAGCTAACCCGGTTCCAATAGAAATTCCGTTACGTATATTCAATTGGGAATCATTTATTTCGCATGCGAAGACCTTCTTCAAAACGAATTTCATGCAATTTATTATGTTACTGTGCGGTGGTATTGGTCTATTCCATTACCAAAAAATCATCAAGTTGGAATGTAAGTGCCTTTTCAAATGTTTATCGTAATTGTGGTCAACTGACATTTGCAAAATAATGATTACTTAAGAACACGCAAGTCTAGCCAAGCCCAAGCTGCAATGGTTAAGACGTTCTGACTTCTGAGCTAACAACTGGAGTGTGGTCAACATGAAATTGGGAGTTTGTGGCTTTGTCAAACAAAACCAAGTTGTTCAAGTTGTCACGAACTTTTTCTTTATGTCACAACTTTACTTTTAGGGTTAGGATTTCAATTTTCGAAATAGTTTAGGGGGAGAAACGCAGAATTTAAAATTAAATTGCCAACATTCCAGAATTTAAAAAGCCAACATTCCAATTTATATATACAGCTATTTCAATTAAGGTTGTCCCCCGAGCAAAGCGGAAAAGTCGAATACGAGCCCGAAAGGCTGCTGAGAATCGCTAATAAATTCATTCATTTATTAGCGATTCCCTGCAGGCTTTCGCGCTTGTATTCGACTTTTCCGCCGCTTTGCTCGGGGGACAACCTTAATTGAAATAGCTGTATATCTTCCATAAGACCATGCATACAGTAGAAATTAAATTGAAAGTTGAAACTAAATTGCTTACTTAGTGCGTCCTGATTCTTGTAAAATTTCCGGACAATGGCAATGAATATTGAATATTATGCATGCAATGTTAATATATGTATTACTGTATTCTTAGCTTTAGAATCATGCCCAGTACCTGTAGGCATCGGTGCACCATCCTGTGGAAAATCGACAGCTATGCGCCTTGTGAGAAAGTTGATGGGTATGCACATTGTGTCCCAGTCATCTGGTGAATTTGTTGTTTCGAATTTGACCGTTACAACTATTCCTGTTTGCTGGGATGACCCAACATATGCCACCTGTGTTCGCCAGCCATTAATGTCAGTTTTCAATGGTCTCGGCAACCAAACACAAGCACGAGGAGATGAGAAACCGAAAACGTCGTTTCTGTTAACAGTGAACTTTACATTGGACGATGACCTAAGGTATTGATATGATGCCTTATTAATTCCATTCTTAGGCTTAGCTGTTCACTATAAACTAGATTTCAGACTCAGTGAACTGATAAGAATAAAATGCGACATAGTGTTGTTATTTGACGCCATGAATCCTTTATAACAAAGCATTTGTGTTCATATGTAATGAGATACGAAAATAATAACTTCATTTACATTAAAGAGCTGTTTAAAAATGTAGAGCAAGTGCTAATCTTTACAATTTCAGTTGTGGGAGAACAGTATACAAAAAGAAAATACACAGTATTTTCCCTCACAAATTATAGTAATTTTCTTCTTGCATCTCAAAATGCCTGTCGAATTTGATATATTTACTCTACGGACCAGAAATTTTGCTTGTCTACATAATTTCCGATTAGCCATCAGGTTATTAACCATGAAAGCTTGGTAGCCATGCAGTCAATGAATCAATGTAATTCATTTTCTTTATAGTCAATTATGTTTATTCTTCTTTAAATCTGATATATAGATCATTCGAAAGGACGACGCCTATCTACTTCCAGAAACTGGTGATGGACGGCACGGAGGTTGCTTTAGATTTCCTCACCGCTAAAACAGACATCTTCGCCTTGGCATCCACTCATGCGCTACCAGATATAATACGGATGAGTCAGTGCATTAATTCTGCTAACCTCGCCAAACATATGGATTATTTTAGGAATCAACTGACAGGGATGTCTCCAAGGCTACCTGAAATATACTCACTTTATCGGCTGTTCGCACACGAGGTAATGAAATCGATGCTCATTACCATCTAAACATATAGGAGGCCCAATATAGTTAGTGGTAATAGGCATAAAAATGACTAAAATAAGTTTAAAATTCAATAAAATTTCATTTTGTTACCGTGGAAATATTTTGCCTGTCATATAGATAGAGCAAATCTCGACAACTTATATAATTATATATGTCATATGATGTATATGGCGATGTTGTTCACTTGGTAATATTGTTCTCAAGTGCATATATGTGTGTGACAAATATTCACTTGAGAACATTTTCTGCATCAGTCATCATATAGAACTATATATTAAACATCTGTGAGTGCAGAAATCACACTTGAATGATATTATATTCTATATAGATTCTCCCGAGAGCTCTGATAACTAAATTCTGTCTTATCTTG